TCATAAATTTCTAATGAAAATGTAATTTCCTTCTTGGTGGAACATTTTGGTTTCTTTGTTGTGTTTCTGTTCTCCTGCTTGACTCTTAGAACACAACTCACAGAACCAAAGCTGCTAAAAACACCGTTTGGTTCTAAAATCACAGATGAACATTTGTTGTGTTTCAGGTGTGGAGAGGTCACGTTCAGAGGATCCGCACCAACACGCAGAGAACCAACGAGATGGTGTTTCTGGGAATGGTAACAGAAATTACTTGCTCTGGTTCCTCCATGTCTTTCAGTTCCCATAGATCCCATGATTCCTTTAGATCCCAAGGTTCCTATAGCTCCTCATAAATTCACCGGTACCACAGATTTTCCCTGTTTTTTTCTAGTTCTCATAGCTCTGGTTGTTGTTTTTGCCATGTTCCTCTGGTTCCTCATATGTCCTCATAGTTCCCCTGATTCCTCAGATCCCTGCGAACCCTCCTGGTCCCGGTTTAGTCCTTCATGCCCGGCGTGTTTCAGTGGGTCAGAGGCTGATCCAGGATCAGAACGAGGAGGAGTACCAAAGAGCTCAGCTGAGTGTGAAGCAGTCAGTTCTAGACGTGGAGGGAACCGACATCAGGGAGACTATGCAGGAACAGATCCGACAGTGGTTCATCGAGTGCAGGTCAGACCAGAACCTCAAAAATCAGTTTTAGACCTTTGATTTGTAACCTTTGGATATTTCGAGACACTTTCTGGGTTCCCGTGGCTTCTCTTCCTCCTGGTTCTCAAAGTCGCTCCCTGAATATCAAACCATGTAGACTCTTCAGGAGGAAGGGATTTTGTCATTGATTTATATTTAATCAATTATTGAACACAGAAGCGTGAAAACTATTCAGTCCTTTATTGATTTCAGCCTGTTGGGTCTACGTAGAACATCTGTGCAGCGACAGACGGTACATCAATCAAAAACAATCTTTTCTACAGGTGCTGTTGATTTATTCTGTCAGAACAGGACGTGAACTCGTCCATCACAAAAGAAAAGCTGGTTGGTTGAATGTTAAACCTCCCGTCTTTAAATAGAAACGCAGAATTATCATTTATTATTTCCCTTGAATGATGATTTTCTCTGGCATTTTACTGCACCAGCTGGATTTAAAACTGTAAAGTCTGTGGAGATGAACATGTGTGCATCCATCACTCTGTAAATGAGTACTGTAATAGTACTCATAGAAATTTACACACATATAAACACACATGTTACTCGGCCATAGAAGAACCTCTGAAGCCTCTCAGCACATTAGCAATATTATTTAATATGAATCACACAAATTAGGTCAGTCCAGCAGTGGGCAGCTCCCGAACAACGAGCGACAACAACAGAGAACGCATCAGGTCACGTCCTGTGGAGGAAATCAGTTGGACGGTGGAGCCGGACCAGGTCTGGACAGGGACCAGGTCTGCAGCTCAAACGTCAGAGTTTTAAAACATTTTGTTTGGAGACATCCAGACTCTGCAGGATCCTTCAGAATGTTTAATTAGACAGAGTCCATCAGAGGTCTTCATCAGGTCCAGAGAAGTCAGAGGAGCTGTCCCTCGTACATGAACCTGTCCATCAGAGGTCTTTTCATCAGGTCCAGAGAAGTCAGAGGAGCTGTCCCTCGTACATGAACCTGTCCATCAGAGGTCTTCATCAGGTCCAGAGAAGTCAGAGGAGCTGTTCCTCGTACATGAACCTGTCCATCAGAGGTCTTCATCAGGCCCAGAGAAGTCAGAGGAGCTGTTCCTCATACATGAACCTGTCCATCAGAGGTCTTCATCAGGTCCAGAGAAGTCAGAGGAGCTGTGCCTCATACATGAACCTGTCCATCAGAGGTCTTCATCAGGTCCACAGAGGTCAGGAGCTGTCCCTCATACATGAACCTGTCCATCAGAGGTCTTCATCAGGTCCAGAGAAGGTCAGAGGTCAGAGGAACCATCCATCAGACATGAACCTGTTGATCTGGTTCACGTGGCTTCTGCTGATCTTTGCTGTTTGTCAGATTTAAAGTCAGACTTTAACCAAGCCCAAACCAAAGAACAGGCACTTTGAGCGCAGATCGGTGACCAGAACAGGAACCTGGAACCTGGAACCTATGGTAAAGAAACACCTGGAAACACTGCAGCTGCTGCCTGACTGCCTGGAGGACATCAACACGTGGAATGAACCTAAACTTCCTCAGTCTAAACGTAGACTCGACCGAGGACCCGGTGTTTGGAATCCTGAACTGACTGATGTGGACTAGCTGCTAATGACCTCTCACCTGTGAGGAGTCCTGGTGTCTTACCGTGTGTTTACATTTGATTTCCTCCACTGTAAGATTCTAGTTCTTCCAGTTGAGAACTAGAGCCGAGGTGAAGACCTCTGCCCCCCCTGAAGATTCAGAGAGTACGCCTTCAGAACTTCCTGTCTCGACTCCTCCTGATATGTGGGCTGAGACCAGTCATCCTTCATCACCTGCTGCTGCCTCTGACAGGAAAGGAAAGAGGGACCACATCACACCTGGATGTAGAAGCAGGCTCAGAACCAGAGGCCAGTCTTTGGTGGTTCTGCCCCCCTAGCGTGTGGAAGTCCAGATTACCATCCCTGCTGACTCTGTGGTCACTACAGACCACATACTGTATACTCTGAAGCTGTACTGCAGTACTTTTACTGAGTAATCACGGTTTATTCTTGTACTTATAAAATAAACAGAGACGCCGCAGGAACGTTTCCAGAGTTTCCCGACGCTGCAGACGGAGGATCAGCTGCCATCTTCACTCAGAAAACACCTGAACAGGTGATTCTTCTTCTACAGAAAGCTTCCTCTTCTTCTCTGACTCTTTTAACGCAGCTCACTTGAACGTGTCGTCAGGTTTCAGCTGAGCTGGCGGCGAGGAGGAGGAGAGAGGAGGAGAGAGAAGAAGAAGAAGAAAAAAGAAGAGAAGAGAGGAGGACCACAGAAGAGAAAGGGGAGGAGAGAGAGAAGAAGAAGAAGAAAGAGGTAACGAGGGTAATTCCATGGCCGTGTTCTCCACCACCCGTAGTGAGCTGTATGCAGAGCTGACCTGGTCTGACCTGGTCGGGTCTCTTGTGGTCTCTGTAGGGGGACGGTGGTTGGATGAAGCCCCGCAGCTGTTCCTGTCTGATGTGGTCGAAGGGGTCGGATCTGCTCAGGTCAGTGTACTGTTGTCTCCATGACAACTGGTCGACCTCACAGAAGAAGAAGAGACGTCCGGCTGGATCCAGGACCGCCTGCTTACTGTGTACTGCAGTACACACAGGATGTACTGCAGTACACACAGGATGTAGTAGTAGACACAGTACACAGTATGTAGTAGTAGTAGACACAGTACACACAGTATGTAGTAGTAGACACAGTACACACAGTATGTAGTAGTAGACACAGTACACACAGTATGTAGTAGTAGTAGACACAGTACACACAGTATGTAGTAGTAGTAGACACAGTACACAGTATGTAGTAGTAGTAGACACAGTACACAGTATGTAGTAGTAGTAGACACAGTACACACAGTATGTAGTAGTAGTAGACACAGTACACACAGTATGTAGTAGTAGTAGACGCAGTACACAGTGTGTAGTAGTAGTAGACGCAGTACACAGTATGTAGTAGTAGACGCAGTACACACAGTATGTAGTAGTAGACGCAGTACACAGTATGTAGTAGTAGACACAGTACACACAGTATGTAGTAGTAGACACAGTACACACAGTATGTAGTAGTAGACACAATACACACAGTATGTAGTAGTAGACACAATACACACAGTATGTAGTAGTAGACACAATACACACAGTATGTAGTAGTAGACACAATACACACAGTATGTAGTAGTAGACACAATACACACAGTATGTAGTAGTAGACACAATACACACAGTATGTAGTAGTAGTAGTAGTAGACACAATACACACAGTATGTAGTAGTAGACACAGTATGTAGTAGACGACACAGTATGTAGTAGTAGACGACACAGTATGTAGTAGTAGACGACACAGTAGTAGTAGACGACACAGTATGTAGTAGACGACACAGTATGTAGTAGTAGACACAGTATGTAGTAGTAGACACAGTATGTAGTAGTAGACACAGTATGTAGTAGTAGACACAGTATGTAGTAGTAGACACAGTATGTAGTAGTACACACAGTATGTAGTAGTAGTAGTAGTAGACACAGGACACAGTATGTAGTAGTAGTAGACACAGTACACACAGTATGTAGTAGTAGACACAGTACACACAGTATGTAGTAGTAGACACAGTACACACAGTATGTAGTAGTAGACACAGTACACACAGTATGTAGTAGTAGACACAGTACACACAGTATGTAGTAGTAGACACAGTATGTAGTAGTAGACGACACAGTATGTAGTAGTAGTAGTAGACACAGTATGTAGTAGTAGTAGTAGACACAATACACACAGTATGTAGTAGACGACACAGTATGTAGTAGTAGTAGTAGACACAGTATGTAGTAGTAGTAGACACAGTATGTAGTAGTAGTAGACACAGTATGTAGTAGTAGTAGTAGACACAGGATGTAGTAGTAGAAGTAGACACAGGATGTAGTAGTAGACACAGAATGTAGTAGTAGACACAGAATGTAGTAGTAGACACAGAATGTAGTAGTAGACACAGGACACAGTATGTAGTAGTAGACACAGTACACACAGTATGTAGTAGTAGACACAGTACACACAGTATGTAGTAGTAGACACAGTACACACAGTATGTAGTAGTAGACACAGTACACACAGTATGTAGTAGTAGACACAGTACACACAGTATGTAGTAGTAGACACAGTACACACAGTATGTAGTAGTAGACACAGTACACACAGTATGTAGTAGACGACACAGTACACACAGTATGTAGTAGACGACACAGTATGTAGTAGTAGACACAGTATGTAGTAGTAGACACAGTACACACAGTATGTAGTAGACGACACAGTATGTAGTAGTAGACACAGTATGTAGTAGTAGACACAGTATGTAGTAGTAGACACAGTACACACAGTATGTAGTAGCAGTAGTAGTAGACACAGTACACACAGTATGTAGTAGCAGTAGTAGTAGACACAGTACACACAGTATGTAGTAGCAGTAGTAGTAGACACAGTACACACAGTATGTAGTAGTAGACACAATACACACAGTATGTAGTAGTAGACACAGTACACACAGTATGTAGTAGTAGTACACAGTACACACAGTATGTAGTAGTAGTAGACACAGTACACACAGTATGTAGTAGTAGTAGACACAGTACACACAGTATGTAGTAGTAGACACAATACACACAGTATGTAGTAGTAGACACAATACACACAGTATGTAGTAGTAGACACAATACACACAGTATGTAGTAGTAGACACAGTATGTAGTAGTAGACACAGTATGTAGTAGACGACACAGTATGTAGTAGACGACACAGTATGTAGTAGTACACACAGTATGTAGTAGTACACACAGTATGTAGTAGTAGACACAGTATGTAGTAGTAGACACAGTATGTAGTAGTAGACACAGTATGTAGTAGTAGACACAGTATGTAGTAGTAGACACAGTACACACAGTATGTAGTAGTAGACACAGTATGTAGTAGTAGACACAATACACACAGTATGTAGTAGACGACACAGTATGTAGTAGTAGTAGTAGACACAGTATGTAGTAGTAGTAGTAGTAGTAGACACAATACACACAGTATGTAGTAGACGACACAGTATGTAGTAGTAGTAGTAGACACAGTATGTAGTAGTAGTAGTAGACACAGGACACAGTATGTAGTAGTAGTAGTAGACACAGGACACAGTATGTAGTAGTAGTAGACACAGTATGTAGTAGTAGACACAGTACACACAGTATGTAGTAGTAGTAGACACAGTACACACAGTATGTAGTAGCAGTAGTAGTAGACACAATACACACAGTATGTAGTAGCAGTAGTAGTAGACACAATACACACAGTATGTAGTAGTAGACACAATACACACAGTATGTAGTAGTAGACACAGTACACACAGTATGTAGTAGTAGTAGACACAGTACACACAGTATGTAGTAGTAGTAGACACAGTACACACAGTATGTAGTAGTAGTAGACACAGTACACACAGTATGTAGTAGTAGACACAGTATGTAGTAGTAGACACAGTATGTAGTAGTAGACACAGTATGTAGTAGTAGACACAGTACACACAGTATGTAGTAGTAGACACAGTACACACAGTATGTAGTAGTAGACACAGTACACACAGTATGTAGTAGTAGTAGACACAGTACACACAGTATGTAGTAGTAGTAGACACAGTACACACAGTATGTAGTAGCAGTAGTAGTAGACACAATACACACAGTATGTAGTAGTAGTAGACACAATACACACAGTATGTAGTAGTAGTAGACACAGTACACACAGTATGTAGTAGTAGTAGACACAGTACACACAGTATGTAGTAGTAGTAGACACAGTACACACAGTATGTAGTAGTAGTACACAGTACACACAGTATGTAGTAGTAGACACAGTATGTAGTAGACGACACAGTATGTAGTAGTAGTAGTAGTAGACGACACAGTATGTAGTAGTAGACACAGGACACAGTATGTAGTAGTAGACACAGGACACAGTATGTAGTAGTAGACACAGGACACAGTATGTAGTAGTAGTAGTAGACACAGGACACAGTATGTAGTAGTAGTAGACACAGTATGTAGTAGTAGTAGACACAGTATGTAGTAGTACACACAGTATGTAGTAGTACACACAGTATGTAGTAGTACACACAGTATGTAGTAGTAGTAGTAGACACAGGACACAGTATGTAGTAGTAGTAGACACAGTAAGTAGTAGTACACACAGTATGTAGTAGTAGTAGCAGACACAGGACACAGTATGTAGTAGTAGACACAGTACACACAGTATGTAGTAGTAGACAGAATGTAGTAGTAGACACAGGACACAGTATGTAGTAGACGACACAGTATGTAGTAGTAGACACAGTATGTAGTAGTAGTAGTAGTAGTAGTAGACACAGGACACAGTATGTAGTAGTAGTAGACACAGTAAGTAGTAGTACACACAGTATGTAGTAGTAGTAGCAGACACAGGACACAGTATGTAGTAGTAGACACAGTACACACAGTATGTAGTAGTAGACAGAATGTAGTAGTAGACACAGGACACAGTATGTAGTAGACGACACAGTATGTAGTAGTAGACACAGTATGTAGTAGTAGTAGACACAGTAGGTAGTAGTTCACACAGTATGTAGTAGTAGACACAGGACACAGTATGTAGTAGTAGACACAGAATGTAGTAGACGACACAGTATGTAGTAGTAGTAGTAGACACAGGACACAGTATGTAGTAGACGACACAGTATGTAGTAGTAGTAGTAGACACAGGACACAGTATGTAGTAGACGACACAGTATGTAGTAGACGACACAGTATGTAGTAGACGACACAGTATGTAGTAGTAGTAGTACACACAGTATGTAGTAGTAGTACACACAGTATGTAGTAGTAGTACACACAGTATGTAGTAGTAGTAGACACAGGACACAGTATGTAGTAGTAGACACAGGACACAGTATGTAGTAGTAGACACAGTATGTAGTAGTAGACACAGTATGTAGTAGTAGACACAGTATGTAGTAGTAGACACAGTATGTAGTAGACGACACAGTATGTAGTAGACGACACAGTATGTAGTAGTAGTAGACACAGGACACAGTATGTAGTAGTAGACACAGGACACAGTATGTAGTAGTAGACACAGGACACAGTATGTAGTAGTAGTAGTAGTAGACACAGGACACAGTATGTAGTAGACGACACAGTATGTAGTAGACGACACAGTATGTAGTAGACGACACAGTATGTAGTAGTAGTAGACACAGGACACAGTATGTAGTAGACGACACAGTATGTAGTAGACGACACAGTATGTAGTAGTAGTAGACACAGGACACAGTATGTAGTAGACGACACAGTATGTAGTAGACGACACAGTATGTAGTAGTAGTAGACACAGGACACAGTATGTAGTAGTAGACACAGTATGTAGTAGTAGACACAGTATGTAGTAGTACACACAGGACACAGTATGTAGTAGTAGTAGACACAGGACACAGTATGTAGTAGTAGTAGACACAGGACACAGTATGTAGTAGTACACACAGGACACAGTATGTAGTAGTAGTACACACAGGACACAGTATGTAGTAGTAGACGACACAGGACACAGTATGTAGTAGTAGTAGACACAGGACACAGTATGTAGTAGTACACACTCCACAACAACAGAACATTAACTGTCTCAGCTGTGGCTGCAGACATCTGATTGGCTGAAGGGACAGAGGCCTCTGAGAGCTGATTGGCCGGCTCGTTAACTTCCTCCGCCAGCCTTGTGGACCAGGTCCAGGACTGGTGTTGACAGGAAGTGGCCCTGCAGCTGTTTTATTGTGAAAAGTCCATTCATAAATTAATCTGCTTTTATTTTCTCATGTTGTTGGCCAGCTGCGTTCTTATTGGCTCTGAGCCCGCCGCTCACACAGGACGTGCACATGTCCGTCAGGAAGTGGCCCCCGGGAGCCGCTCTGCTGCACCTGGGTCACTTTATTGTTGTTCACTGTGTCACTTCCTGTCCCGTCCTGAGAAAATGAAGGTTCCCACACACCTGTCACTTCCTGTTTCAGACGTGTGGTGTCGCCATGACGACCGCCAGACTGTCGACGTGCAGCTGCTCCGAGACGAGATGAGACAGGAAGTGGAACAGGAAGTCAGGCTCCAGGTGAGTTCCAGGTTTCCAGGTCTCCAGGCTGGAGGACTGGAACATGTGTTTCCAGGTCTCCAGGCTGGAGGACTGGAACATGTGTTTCCAGGTCTCCAGGCTGGAGGACTGGAACATGTGTTTCCAGGTCTCCAGCCTGGAAGACTGGAACATGTGTTTCCAGGTCTCCAGCCTGGAAGACTGGAACATGTGTTTCCAGGTCTCCAGCCTGGAGGACTGGAAACACATGTTCCAGTCTCGTTTGATTCGTTGTCAGGTGGACGAGCTGATGAGGGCGGAGCTGGAAAACCTCAAACTGGTCATCGACAAAACCCAGAAGAAGAAGAAGAAGAAGAAAGGGAACAGAAAGGTCAGGGTCGCTGAACGGCTGTGTCTGAAATCACCCACTGCTCACTATATAGTGAGCTCGCCACTCTGTAGCGCTGTCCGAAGGTACAGTGAGAACTATTATACCCTCTACAGTCCACTCAGTGTATCCCAGAATGCATTTTGAAAACCATCATGCAAAACTGATTGTCCGACAGCTCTGACGTAATTAACGGCGCCGAAATAACGATCGGGGTAGTGTCCCAAAGTGTTGTTTTAATAATGAGCTCACTGTGTAGAGCCCTGCATACAGCTCACTGCGGGGGGGGGGGCACAGCCAATGGCTCTGTTGTGTGTTTGTTTCTGCGTGCTGGACCTCCCAGACGGGTGGAGTCATTTAATGTTTGTTTTGTTTGTAAAAGAAGAAGAAAAGCAAGAAGAAGAAGAGAGAGAAAGACCTGACAGCACACAGGTGAGTTTACCTGGGGCGGGGTGTTCTCTGGCCTGTGATTGGCTCCTGTCTGTGTTCTCTGGCCTGTGATTGGCTCCTGTCTGTGTTCTCTGGCCTGTGATTGGCTCCTGTCTGTGTTCTCTGGCCTGTGATTGGCTCCTGTCTGTGTTCTCCGGCCTGTGATTGGCTCTTCCCTCAGGTCCCTACAGTCTCTGTGTGAGGAGCTGATTCTGGAGGGCTTCCTCGTCCAGCCAATGAATATCAAGCTCTCTGACTACATCGGTAACAAGAACAAAACCATTTAGCATCCGAGTTTACTCCTTTGGTTATATCGTGTGAAGGAAACACCTGTAACCCGTCTGTGTGTCCAGGTGAGTACAGTTACTTGGGCTCGACTCTCCAGCAGGTGAACACTGAACCGATGCCGTCGCTCTCTGATGTCAGACAGCTCATCACTCTGTACACCGTGCTGCCTCTGGGTCAGTAACTCACCAGAGTCTCATCAATTACACCAATAACTCACCAATAATTCACCAGTAAGTCATCAGTAACTCACCAATAATTCACCAGTAAGTCATCAATAACTCACCAATAATTCACCAGTAAGTCATCAATAACTCATCAATAACTCATCAATTACACCAATAACTCATCAATAATTCACCAGTAAGTCATCAGTAACTCACCAATAATTCACCAGTAAGTCATCAGTAACTCACCAATAATTCACCAGTAAGTCATCAATAACTCACCAATAATTCACCAGTAAGTCATCAATAACTCATCAATAACTCATCAATTACACTAATAAGGCACCAATAATTCACCAGTAACTCACCAGTTACACTAATTAGATTTATTACCCAGTGCACAGGCCTCCTGCTTCTTGGTAGTCTTGTTGGTGCTAATTAGCCGTGTGTTAGCATGCTCTTGTCCACTGTTTTGTGTCCACGGTAAAGTGGTGTCATTCCCACATAGTCCATTCACTTCTAACCTGTGGATCTTGGTTTCCAGCACTGCTATTTTCTGTAGAAGTTTGTAGAAGTCGTCCGTGGAAAAGGGGGGGCATCTTGTTGCTAATTAGCATTAGCTATAGCTCCAGTCACTGCGGTACAGGCTAGTGCTATTGATCATAAAAGGTTTTAAATTATGGCAAGAGCCAACTTTATCTGACAGTGCCAGTGATTTAAAAGTATCCAAGAGCTGCTGATTTCTAGCAGGGAAAAAAAGAGTTTAAGCAAAAGAATGCAAGCAGAGGCAAGAGCAAGCAGCAAAGCGTCTGCACTGTAAGAAAGCAGGAAGTGGAGCCAATATAATAAGGCACCACTAATTCACCAGTAACTCACCCATAATTAACTGGTAACTCATCAATAATTCACCAATAACTCAGCACTAACTTATCAGCAATTCACCAATAATTCACTGGTAACTCATCAGTAATTCACCAATAATTCATCCATTACTTACTTCTGTTGGTGGACAATCATGTTCTGTTTTTGAACTACAGTTCCCATGATGCTTTGGGGAATGTAAACAGGAAGTCTTTAGTAAAGTTAAATAAACCTTCAAACATTAAATCTGAGCAGCAAACAGCTTGTTAAAAAATAAAATAGAGGGATTAAGGCACCAAACACATCAAAAATCTTCTGCTGCAAGACATTTCCCATCATCCTCACAGTGATGTCACACTCCACCGGTCCTTGATTTTTCAATCCAGGATCCCAGGCGGTCTTGAAGAAGTTCCCAGGGATGAAGACTCTGCTGCTGGCCGGTCCGTCTGGAGTCGGCAAGAAGATGTTGGTTCACGCCGTCTGCAGCGAGACCGGAGCTCACCTGTTCCACCTGAACCCCGCCCACCTGAGCACCAGGTACCCGGGCAGAACCGCCTACCTGCTGCACCTGGTCTTCAAGGTGAGCCTTGCACTCCTGGAAACATGGAAAACCTGGAATGCTTTACACAAATCTGCCCCTTACAGCAGCTTAGTCATCCTGGAAAACCTGGAATTTATCCTTATTTTAGTGCAACTAAGACATATTTGAAAACCTGGAGTTTATCTTCAAGCACCTTCCCCAAGGACTTGAAAAGTAAAGCATCCTTGTTGATTAATTAGTCAGCTACAGCTTCACCTGATCATCAGGTGTGAGAGAGTGACATCATCATCAGTACGTGGCCTCTGATTGGTCCGGCTTGTGTCTCCTGTCAGGTGGCAGGTGAGCTGCAGCCGTCTGTGATCTGGATAGAAGACGCAGAGATACCGTTCTACAGGAAAACTCCAAAAACTGAGCGAGAGGTCAGGAAACTACTAAAGGTTTAAACACATGTTTAAGGTCTGAAGGTCTGGAGTTACAGTTATCATTTTATTCTGAAGGTCTGGAGTTACAGTTAGCATTTTATTCTGAAGGTCTGGAGTTACAGTAACCATTTTATTCTGAAGGTCTGGAGTTACAGTTAGCATTTCATTCTGAAGGTCTGGAGCTACAGTAACCATTTTATACTGAAGGTCTGGAGCTACAGTAACCATTTTATTCTGAAGGTCTGGAGCTACAGTAACCATTTTATTCTGAAGGTCTGGAGTTACAGTTAGCATTTTATTCTGAAGGTCTGGAGTTACAGTAACCATTTTATTCTGAAGGTCTGGAGTTACAGTTAGCATTTTATTCTGAAGGTCTGGAGTTACAGTAACCATTTTATTCTGAAGGTCTGGAGTTACAGTAACCATTTTATACTGAAGGTCTGGAGCTACAGTAACCATTTTATTCTGAAGGTCTGGAGCTACAGTAACCATTTTATTCTGAAGGTCTGGAGCTACAGTAACCATTTTATTCTGAAGGTCTGGAGCTACAGTAACCATTTTATTCTGAAGGTCTGGAGCTACAGTTAGCATTTTATTCTGAAGGTGTGGAGTTACAGTTAGCATTTTATTCTGAAGGTCTGGAGTTACAGTAACCATTTTATACTGAAGGTCTGGAGCTATAGTGCTAAAGTTTGCATTTTATTCTGAAGGTCTGGAGTTACAGTAACCATTTTATACTGAAGGTCTGGAGTTATAGTTAGCATTTTATACTGAAGGTCTGGAGTTACAGTAACCATTTTATTCTGAAGGTCTGGAGTTACAGTTAGCATTTTATACTGAAGGTCTGGAGTTACAGTAACCATTTTATACTGAAGGTCTGGAGTTACAGTTAGCATTTTATTCTGAAGGTCTGGAGTTACAGTTAGCATTTTATTCTGAAGGTCTGGAGCTGCAGTTAGCATTTTATTCTGAAGGTCTGGAGCTGCAGTTAGCATTTTATTCTGAAGGTCTGGAGCTGCAGTTAGCATTTTATTCTGAAGGTCTGGAGCTGCAGTTAGCATTTTATTCTGAAGGTCTGGAGCTGCAGTTAGCATTTTATTCTGAAGGTCTGGAGCTATAGTGCTAAAGTATGCGTTTTATTCTGAAGGTCTGGCATTTGGGAGAGGAAGGTCACCTGAAACATGTTTTTAAAGACAGAAGAGTTAGGCCTGTGCTGCCCCCTGCTGGCTGAACATGTTAATAACATGCAGTTATAAAAAGGTTAAATAAGAACTTCCTGTCAGAGCTGCTTCATAATAAAACTTCCTGATTCTAACAGTCTCTACAAAATAGAGATGGCTTGGCAAAGCGGCCAAGCTCACAACAGTGTTTCATACAGTATTCCTTTTGTTGAATTTTACTGTCTAGGTGACGGGGCTGTAGGTGTGCGTGTGTGCATTGTGGGGGATATGTGATCGGGACGGGGAGAGGCAACAGTCCATTTGTGATTCTCACGGCTTGTGGGAAAAAACTGTTCAGCATCCTGCAGCTGATGCTTCTGTACCGCCTCCCAGATGGCAGGAGGGAGAAGATGGGATGGGCTGGGTGGTATAAGTCCTCAATGATGGAGATGGCTCTGTAAATGCAGCCTTGCTGGTAGATCTCACATAGGTAGGGGAGTGGAGCACCGACGATCTTGCTGTCTTCACGACCCTGTTTAGTTGTTCTTTTTCATGGGCTGTACATTTTCCAAACCAGGAAGTGAGACCATAGGTCTATTATGACATAGGATGGTTTCAAGGGCGGGCAATGGGTTTCAATTAGAATTATGTTCTAGTGGAAGAGATCTTTGTTCCAGCTGGATCTTAAGGGGCTGAAGAAAAACCTCCTGAAGTCTCTGAAGACCCTGAAACTGCAGGACCGAGTTCTGGTGATCGGGACCAGTCGAAGACCGTTTGACGCCAACATCAAACCGCTCTGTAAAGTCTACAAGAAGATCATCCTGATCCCCAGACCAGACTACAGCTCCAGACTGGGTTAGTCCGTCTCCAGACTCCAGTAAACAAGTTAAATATCAGACCAGGTTATATGCTAACATGCTATCATGCTAGAGTTAGCATTAGTATATGGATAACATGCTAAAACATTAGCATATTTAGCATTATACATATTATCATGCAATCCGATTCATCCTAATGTAGTGTCATATGCTAATGTTAGCATGTCCCAATTTAATACCATATGCTGTTAACATGTCCCAATTTAATACCATATGCTAATGTTAGCATGTCCTAATGTAATGTCATATGCTAATGTTAGCATGTCCTAATGTAATGTCATATGCTAATGTTAGCATGTCCTAATGTAATGCCATATGCTAAGGTTAGCATGTCGTAATATCTGCAAACTTTTCTTTCTTTCAACATTAGCATGTTAGCATATTTACTGTTATCAATGTCACATTATTAGCTTCATGCTAATGCTAACAGTAGCGTTTCCCATCAGTTCTGTGGATGGAGCTGCTGCGTGCTGAGGGGGCAGAGCCTGGTCCACATCTGGACCTCAGCTCATTGGCTAAGATCACCGACGGCTTCACTCAGGGTCACATCCTGCAGGCGGTCCGCTCGGTGCTCCGCCCCCACAGGCTGAAGAAGCTCCACCTACAACCGCTGACCGCCACGGAGTTCATCCCATCGCTGTCGAGGATGGAGCCGGTGTACCGGGAGGAGGAGGACGCCTTCAAGGTCAGAGGTCACAACCCTGTTGACAATTATTGAAAGGAACAGTGCTGATTATTAGCTCGTAGCACAGCGATGCTAACTATGACCATCTGTGTATCATGGTCATGTTTACCGTCTCCCCTCACGCTCTGAGTACATGAAGAACTGCGAGTCTGCAGGTCTATAAAACACGAACCAGCTATGATCCGAGTCTGGACCCGGTCTGAAGAACGGGCGGGGACACGAATCGTATCCCAGGTTGTGTCTCTTTGTTCAAAGGTGTTGTTAAAGCAGACATGTGTTGTGTCTGTGTGTTCAGCTCTGGTTCAGGAAGACGCTGCTGGGCAGGAGGAAGGCACGAGCTGCCAAAACCAGCGAAGAAGAACGAGGAGCGACCGCAGCGGGGAAGAAGAAGAAGAAAGGGGCAAAGGACAAAAACAAGAAGTGATGAAGTCTTTACTGCTGTAGTCTATTTTTATTTAATGGAAAATATTAGTGGGTTTCTTTAGTTCCTGACTTACATTTATTCATTTATCTGACGCTTTTATCCAAAGCCACTTACAATTGCTATACACGTCAGAGGTCGCACGCCTCTGGAGCAACGAGGGGTTAAGTGTCTTGCTCAGGGACACAATGGTGGATGAGTCACAGTGGGGGATTGAACCCTGGTCTCTCACACCAAAGGCAGGAATCCTTCTCCTGGTGTTTGGTAAAACACCAGGCCTTTTATTTTGAAGGAGAAAAATAACTTCCTGTAACCAACCTTTAAAGTGATTAAACTCCAGGTTTCCTTTGTTGTTGTCTATTAAAGATGTGAAAACGTGTTTCACCAACA